CAAAATTTACTGACGGTTATAAGTGCGGCACTATTCCCGGAAGGCGTAACGTGGGCATGTACGCCTTCGCGGCCGCGTACATGGCGTTTGCACCATAGGGTGCACCGCAGTAGGCAATGTCAACACACGTCTTTTAATTAGAATGGGTGTGCCCATCTGGCGCACAACGTTGATCTATCTAACTGTTTCAGTTTGTTGTGGCTAATCGCAAACAGTTCATCCATGTGAAGTGTATGCCATCAATCGCAGACACTTCGATCTGGCTTACCCATTTCTGTTATGTTGCCTAATCGCAAACAGTTAATCCTTCTGAAGCGTATGCCCTCAATCACACACACCTTGATCTGGCTGACCGTTTCTTTTGTGTTGCCTAATCACAAATAGTTCATCCGAGTGAACCGTATGATGTATATCGCACACACCTTCATCTGGCTGCCCGTTTCTTTTGTGTTGCCTAATCACAAACAGTTCATTCGAGTGAACCGTATGCTCTATATCGCACACGCCTTCATTAGGCTACCCGTTTCTTTTGTTCTGCCTCATCGTAAATAGTTCATTAGACTGAACCGTATGCCCTGGATCGCACACGCAACTAAAATCTGAACCGTGTTTGATGCATTCTCCATCGCAAACATTTCCACCTTTTTGACGGTTTTCATACAGCACCGTTTGCGATTATGGCATCGCACATAGTTTCTCGAAGGGTCTCTAATCATAGTGTCGCGTTAGCAGCATCCTGCAGTAGTGGTGGTTATTTATTCCTATGAATGGAGCACATGGCATCTTGTACATATTCGTGAGATATGTCGCGTCAAAAAAATGCAATCACGAAAATGCTTGTAGGCTCTTCTTGCTGCACCATCCACCCAATACATGTTTCTTACACATTCCTCATCGTCTAGTCTTATTTTGTAGAAGAAATCAAGATCTTCTTTTGCTTTCTCTTCGAAGTAGGTAATCATGTCTTCTATGTCAGCCAACTTGCTCTCTCTACAGTACTTCACCTTTAGGTTTGTGATGTCTGCTGGTATGTAGGGCGTGCTACCCAGACTACCATCTTTGTTGTGGATCAGGGACAGTATCCAGACCATTCTCGATGTACTAACGTTACAATCATGTAGTAACTTTATGAATTTCTTCTCGCGAGGACTAAATCCTCTATGGGCACTCAGAAATCTTACTAGGTCAAACTTCTTTATCATATCATGGTTGTGTTCTTCGACATACTCAGTGACCACCCCCCAGGCTCCATCTGTGTTTAGCTTCATTCTGGCAGGGCATTCGGTCTTGAGAATGATGCCTCTCCTTCGTTCTGGCATGACTGGCACAACACTTTTACCCTTCTTGTTCTTTCGCGCCTTGTAGCAGCTTAGCTCACCTCTGCTGTACTCGTTAGTTTTTTTATTTTCTGATGATATTCCATGTTCACAGCGAATCCATGGAACAATGCATAGCTCTGATAGTATTTCTTGGCATCTTCAAATGAACTAAATCTCTGTCCAACATAAGGTGGTTGAGTTGGCATGAATTCTGATTGTCCCTCTTCTTCTTCCCCTTGCATTTTGTCATCAGTTTCATCATTCACTTCAGTATTGGTGGCTGTTTCATCTGTTCGAATGTTGCTTGTGCTGGTGTGCACAGGCGTGTTTGTCGTCATTGCTGCAATGATGTCAAGTTCTGACATTGATTCTGCATAGTCCGTGATAGGATGGTTGACCGACTCTTGGAATGACCCTTTTGTGTGCTCCGAGGTACCCGTAGCAGATGTCCGTGCACCGCTGTTGAACATAGTCGAAGCTCCTGTATTTTTCTAAATCAGGTACATGTGTAATCAGTATTGCTTGAATGTCATCTTCATTAAAATCAAATATGGCAACTTCATCTAATTGTTCATGGCAATTGTAGCTTATTCTACAAGGCAAAATTGTAGGTGCCCACGCATGGATGACACATTGAATTGAGGCATTGCAAATGTAATTGTTTTCATTTTTTTCATAGGTAAATAACTAGGTATGTTAGTTACATGCCTAAATTCTTGGAATGTGCATTTTTTTAAATCACGGTAACTGTAATCCATCTTTGCCTGGCAACATGCAAAGATGAAAGTATTGACAACTTCATTTGGCCAGGTATGGCAATTACAGTTGTCCAGCCATGGCAACTGCAGTTGACCTAATATGGCATCTGCAATTGTCCAGTCATGGCAACCAACATTTTTAACATCAACGTGTTTGCACGATTTATCTTGGTTCACAAATTATTTTGATTTGCCACATGTGCTACTTGAAGTTGGTGTGCTGCATCTGCATTATTGATGGCCCGCAATGGTGCAGCTTGCCACGAGACTCATGGTGCTGTGGTTGTACCGTAAGAACATGTGAACATGTCAACATAAATCATAAGACGGGATACCATTTTTGTGTATACAAATAAATTTCATTTTTTTCCTGCACGCATCGTGTGGAAGTTTAGTTTTTATATCATGGCAAAAAAAATCCATCATACATGGCAACTACAGTCGACAAGCCCTGACCAAATGCAGTTGGTCATGCATGGCAACTGGAGTTGCTCAGACATGGCAACTGCGTGCAATCACATTTGGCAACGATAGTCATACTTTAATTGCCAATTGCACTTGTTCACGGAGGAAAATATAGTTGACCAAGCTTCACAGTTGCACTATTTGTTATTTTTTGTTTTGCATTAGCTACATACGCTAATGTCATCTACTTTTCATTTTTGTCACACCACGTAACCGCCTTGTCTTTTTGTAGTTTCCTTTTTCTGATACATTGTGCGCACGATCTTTTTTTTCCTCCTCACCTGCATAATGTTGATGGCAGGTATCCGGTTGCCAGCTGTTGCCATGTGCTGCATGATGGTCCTGCGTTTTCCGAATTACTCGTATGTTTGCCATCCTTGCATGATGTTTTGCCACATCAATATGTTTGCATGATTTTTTCGAGTTCACTATACATTGATTTTCCACATATGCTTCTTGAAGTTGGTCTCTCACATCTCTATTACCGATACCCCCTTGGTTGCAACTTGCCCTGGTATTCCTGGTGGTGTGCTTGCGTCGTAAGAACCTGTGAACAATTTCATTGCAATACATAAGAAGAATGCCATTTTCTCATGTCCACAAACATGCCAAATTTCACCTTTTCTTCACACATGGTACCTATGTCTGCGTACTGCTGTAGTAGTGACAGCAATGGTCCTCCTAAAATGAGTTCATTGTACCCTATCGTATCCGGGGGGGGGGGGCTTGTGGCTGTCCGGAAAACCAAGGATCAGGCCCGTCTCCAGGATTCATTCTGCTTCTCCCCCTATTTTTTCACACTCATGTAGAATGTTTTTAACCACTTCATGAATGATAACGCATTATTCTTCCCATTCCAGTTTTGTTGTTCCCAAAAAACACGACAATCTTATTATATGACTGGCATAAACCCCTAGCATAGCATGTGTCAATCTTTCTACAATTTGGATGGCAACTACCATGTAGGATTGGCGGCAACTAACTACATAACATGGTGGCAACTACCAGCTAAGTTGGGTGGCAACTTTTTTACCTTCGTACTTGCCAGCCGAAAATACTCTGTTTTTGCACTGTTCCTCCCCGTACTCAACTTTTTGCTTGATCCTCTTTTTTCTTCTAAATCTTAGTGTGCCTTAACATACTTTTCGAGCATATTTTGATGGCAACCCAACTTAGTACGAACTTCTGATCACAAGCATTATGCAGATCAAAACTAGGATACAAGATGGCAACTTTATTGATTTTAGAGGGGAGAGGAGAATGGCCGGATTCATGTGTTTTTAGATCCATACGACACAAATCTAGGACGTATGTGGTCTGGTTGCCATGACCAAGTGGATCCAATCGCCATCTACGCAGGCAATCTCGAAGTGAAATTAGTAGGGGAGATAGGTTTGCGCCCTAATCCAAGATGTTTCTCACCTTTGTTTGAGTTTGTTGCCGTGTTTTTTGTTGAGGGGGCGCTAGTGATCTGATCTGGTTGCCATGGCAAATATCGAAGGAGGAGGAGGCAGGTAGGGAACGATTTGTCGATCCGGATGTTGGAGACGACTGACGGTGGTTACCCTGGCGCGCGGGTGGGGAGGGACGATGCCCGAGGGGTGGATTTGATCGTGCGGGCCGCGGGGTGGCTCGCCTGGACGTGTGGGCGATCGTGGTGCACACGGGACGTGCGGGCTGCGACGGGGGGCGCCCGGACGTGCTCGCGCGGGCGGGCCTGGATCGATGCCACACGAGGCGTGCGGCAGATACCCCTTAGGTGCCACACGTGTGGGCGTTATCGACGTCCTAATTTATTTAGCCAACGATATTGGCTAAACAATTCAGAGATGCCATGCTTTTTAGCCAACGTTAACAGAATGTTGGGCGAACCAACCTGCGGTTAGATGGTTAGAAAGACTGTGGTATTCCCAGCCCATCGGGGTAAGTCCTGGTACTTGCATTTATTCCTGGATTTATTTAGGATTTCTAGCTATGCACATTCAGTGAGAGGAGATATTCACATCGATGACGAGTTGCTTACGATGACTTCGTAAGGCTCAGTCTTTCAGAGGTGCTCATGGGGTAGGATGTGCGTGTGTGTGTTCATTGATGAGTGTATGCGCGTGTATACGAGCACTTGTTGTACTCTGTTTTTTTTAAAGGATGTTGGTTGTGAATTCTCCTCACACGTCCGAAGGGACTTTCCCCAACCATCCGAAGGGACGCCTTTCCCCAACTACCCGACGACCGGGGCGGCCGCCTCTGACCAGTGAATCCTCCTCTAGCATTGGACTTCCCCTCCCTACGACCTTTCCCTCAAACCTTCCTACCAGTTCTTCTTCTTCTTCGCCTTCGCCTTCTTCAGTAGAATCATCATCACCACAAGGGTAGGAGGCTCCGTCGCGGCCGGGGTCTGCTGCTGCGGCGAGGGACCATCGTGCACGTGCGTCGGAGTGGAAGGAAAGGGGAGGAGAGGATGGAATTGGGGGAGGAGGTGGCGCGCGCGCTGGGCACGGGCTTCGACCTCACGTCCGACTTCCGCCTGCGCTTCGCGAAGCTCCGGCGGCGGCTCGTGGACCTCAACGAGGCCGGGGCGAGGGACGTCCCCGTCCCGGGCGGGGGCGGCGCGGTGCTGCGCGGGATACCGCGCGACGTCGGCATCGACAAGGGCGACCGCATCCGCTTCCGCTCCGACGTCCTCGAGTTCAACCAGGTGCACCCCCCCGCATGTCGCCATCCGTCTCTGTTGGCTTTCCTCAGTTCCAGCTTTCTGTATGTTGCCGTGCCGTGCATCAGTTAGGGAATTCTGTGGATTAGGCGTCGTGGCCACATGCTTCTTCTCTTCTCGTATTGTTGGATCGTGTGGGTTTTGTCCTCGCGAAATATGCTTTCAACGATTGGAGGTTGCGACCTGTACCTGTACCAATCGTGCCTTTTTCTTTTGACGGAACTACGGCGCCCGGCCTGCCTGAACCCTTCATTGTTAGTGTTCGCACACGAACACGTCACGTGTACCCTCGACGCCGGGGATGATGCACCGCAGCTCACGTCGAAAGAGTCTCACCGAAAGCGTGATTCGCAAGTCAACCGTCGAGAGCTTTTGAGGACCCGAAACCCCACACTCCCGGGAGAGACCCCGTCGGGGAGTGCGGCGGCTATGGGCTGCCCTAGGTCGGTCCAACCGCCCCTAGAGCCTCGGAATTCGCAGCTCTCCAACACGAAGAATGAGGAAGCAAGAACAGGGGAGAGACAAAACGTAGATGAAAAAGTAGTAGATGTGTTTTTTGCGATTGTGTGTTGTTCAATCGGCCGTCACCTCTCATCTATTTATGAGGCGGCTGGACTTCCCGTACAAGAAAAAAACTAAAAATTCCGTCCAAAACATCAAAAACCCTAACTTAACTCAGACAGGAATCTTTGGTAATTTCCTGGACCAACTCGGTCTCACCGATTGGTTCATTTCGGTCCCACCGAGTGAACTTTGCCAATTCTCTGTATCCTTCTGTAATTTCCCGGATCAACTCGGTGTCACCGATTGGTTTGCTTCGGTCCTACCGAGTCAACATTGCCAACTCTCTGGTAAATTTTCGGACCAACTCGGTCTCACCGATCAAATCAACTTGGTCGGTCCGAAATGACTCTGCAGTTTCTGTTTCTGACCTTGTTTTGCCTCCCCAGGTTGCATACGACCTCGGATTAAGATGATTTTTATATCAAAATCTACCGTTTCATCGAGACGCACAACTTTCATGTTGAAACATTTTCTATCAGAGGCCATCTTGATTAAGTTTTATGCCTTTCTTTACTCTGGTGTCAACATGAGCATCTCTGAACTTGTCATAACTTTTGAGTCCGAGCTTCGTTTTAGACCATCTTCATATCCATCTTGATCTTCTCGAAGAGAGACATTCCAAGGTGACTTCCAATCATAAGTTTGAATTGGTCTTTATATAACCTATGCTAATTTTATGAATGTGCCAATTTTGAGCGTCAACACATGTCCCCCTGTTTTTCGGCATAGCTAGTATGCCGAAAAATAACTTGTACCATGTTGGTTTTAAGGACGATGTCAACACTCCATCGGCCATTCTGCATCTTCTTAGGATGATAAGTATATATCGGCCATTGCTTGTTTGAACCTCTTGATGCAAACTTGGGTGAAAAACTTCTCAACTTCTATAACAATCCGGTGATAAGGTTCCATAGATCAAAACCATCATCCGAACCATATCGTTCACCCTTTTGCTAGAATTTTGCAGATAATCAAGAATGAACTCCCTCTAATCCTTTCTTTCACCTGCATACAAATTTCATTAGTGGCCGAAGCAATGGGCTTTGGTTCGGCCTTACCTATGTCGGTGAGATCAAGCATCGGCTATTGATAGATGTGCAATACACCATGATCTACATGGTAGCCGAATGCTTGTTGCGCCAACTCATTTGCTCTTCAATTTTCATGTCTAGATATATGAGAAATATTAAAGCAACCCAAGGTAAATTTTATATCTAGAGATACCTCAAGGTAAACTATTAGTGATTTGTCAAAATATTGATGACCCTTGGATATTTGTTGCACTACTCATAACGAATCACCCAAAGCCTCAATGTGGGTAGCACCTATGGCACCCAAAAGATCCAAACCGAATAACATTGCATATTCGGCTTTGATTATTGTGCAAAAAAATATTTTAAGTGGCATGAGGCTTCACAAAATAGTACCATAAGGATATATATAAACAACACCAACACCTTGGCCATTGTTATGAATTCAACCATCAAAATATAATCTCCATAGTACTAAAAAGACAAGGCTAATATCAATATTATGCATGTCATAAATCCGATGGTCGATAATAAAACAACAATGATTTGGCCTCTCATATTCGTAGGCCGAATCATATATATTAAATCAAAGCATAAACCCACTCAATTTCTATGAATCGGTCTATGCAACATATTTTGAATGGCACCGGTCATAATGTTTCATCTCCATGCAAGCATAATATAAGTATATGTATAGATTTCCATGAACATGTACCTTGTCTTGCTCTCCAACCAAACTAAGGACGATGTTAGAATGGTACACCGGCCATGCTTTGTCATATTCTTAGGGCGATAAATAAATATCGGCCACCTCCATAAGGTTCATGTAGAATTCATCCACCAAAGCATGTATAGCCGAAATAAACAAATGAAATAGCAAATCAAGTATTTCGGCTCTTTGGATCAACAACAAACTTGTAGCTAATCAAATGTATAGTGATTTGGTAATACCCTCTCATGATATAGAAGATTATGTTGCATCCATGGATGAAAATAAATCCATGGAGGGTAATTGATCATACCTAGGGATGAGTTCCATGGCAAAGACATCAATGGCATGGTTGAAGAAAATGGATGATGTGCTAACCGAAGATTTCGATGTTGTGATGCACTCCTTCGACTTAATTGTTTGTTGCTTCCATCCTTCTCTCTCTCTTCACTTTTATTGTACTTCTTGTAATGGAAGCTTGCACATAATTCTCATTTTGGGCACTTCCTTTCGGAATCCATGCCATATTCCTTTCTCAAGTTCTTGTGCACTAAGTTTTTGCAATTTCTTCTTTTGCCAATATGATAAGCCGAGTGGGCACCCCGATTGTGATTTTGTTTGAAGCAATGGCAACTCTTGTTTTATCTTGTGCACTCTCAACTTCTTCTCTTCATATTTGGCACCTGATTGACTTGCCTCATCGCCTTTAGTAGCCAATGTCAACACTTTAATTGGCTCTTTTTCATTTGAGATCAAATCTGAAGTAGCACTCTTACGGCCATCTTTTTTAACACGGTAAACTTGCTTGACCACCTCTTTCTTGTTTCTTGAGCTCCGGACCAATTCCTTGTGATCGAAATGGTCTTTGACATGTGATTGTTCATCAAATGTTGATTTTTGAAGAGCTGCATAATGTTGGTGAGATTGTCCAAAATAAGATGGGTAATGTGTCCTTGTATCATACCTGTCCCATGATGGATATGGATTTACATGAGCATAGGGAGGTATCCACGACATCGGCATCGGCGGCCCAAAGTAAGGATATGAATATGCTGCATTGAGATTCTCACTTTGCCAATGCTGACCCTCATATTTGCGCTTTGGGGGTGACCTTGGTTTCTTTGAATGATTTGGCCGATAAGCATGCTTCTCTTCACTCTTCTTTTGATATTTATCCAATAGTTCAGAGAAGGTGATTTTTGATCTTCACTTGTGCTTATTTCGGCCTTTGTTTTATTTTGGTTTGCTTTCATCGATCATTGGATTTGCTTGCTGCCCCCCAGTCCTTGGCGTCTCCATTGTAGCTTCCATGGAATTCTCGCCCTTAAGATTATGTTCATTATGCTCTTCAACAACTTCTTTACATGAAAGATTGATCCCATGCATGATTGATAAAGCTAGGGCTAGCCGATACATTATGCTCATTAGATGATCTAGCAACAACATACGCATTATTTGCATCTACATATGTGAATTGGGTATTCATATTACCTTTGTAGATTGCAAACCCTAGATGACGATCTCTTCATAGCAAGAACGGGCCGGAGACCGTTCAAAGCTTCGTCCCCAGCGGAGTCGCCGAAAAGTGTGTTGGCACACGAACACGTCACGTGTACCCTCGACGCTGGGGGTGATGCACCGCAACTCACGTCGAAGGAGTCTCACCGGAAGCGCGATTCGCAAGTCGACCGGCGAGAGCTTTTGAGGACCCGAAACCCCACACTCCCGGGAGAGACCCCGTCGGGGAGTGCGGCGGCTATGGGCTGCCCTAGGTCGGTCCAACCGCCCCTAGAGCCTCGGAATTCGCAGCTCTCCAACACGAAGAACGAGGAAGCAAGAACGGGGGAGAGACAAAACGTAGATGAAAAAGTAGTAGATGTGTTTTTTGCGATTGTGTGTTGTTCAATCGGCCGTCACCTCTCATCTATTTTGAGGCGGCTGGACTTCCCGTACAAGAAAAGGACTAAAAATTCCGTCCAAAACATCAAAAACCCTAACTTAACTCGGACAGGAATCTTTGGTAATTTCCCGGACCAACTCGGTCTCACCGATTGGTTCATTTCGGTCCCACCGAGTGAACTTTGCCAACTCTCTGTATCCTTCTGTAATTTCCCGGATCAACTCGGTCTCACCGATTGGTTTGCTTCGGTCCTACCGAGTCAACATTGCCAACTCTCTGGTAAATTTTCGGACCAACTCGGTCTCACCGATCAAATCAACACGGTCGGTCCGAAATGACTCTGCAGTTTCTGTTTCTGACCTTGTTTTGCCTCCCCAGGTTGCATACGACCTCGGATTAAGATGATCTTTATATCAAAATCTACCGTTTCATCGAGACGCACAACTTTCATGTTGAAATGTTTTCCATCAGATGCCATCTTGATTAAGTTTTATGCCTTTCTTTACTCTGGTGTCAACATGAGCATCTCTGAACTTGTCATAACTTTTGAGTCCGAGCTCCGTTTTAGACCATCTTCATATCCATCTTGATCTTCTCGAAGAGAGACATTCCAAGGTGACTTCCAATCATAAGTTTGAATTGGTCTTTATATAACCTATGCTAATTTTATGAATGTGCCAATTTTGAGCATCAACAGTTAGTAAAACGCCAGGGCTGCACGTTAGGCGGAAATCAGTGGGCTAGCGCCGTCGGATCTGCCACATGTGGCCGTTTGGATCAGCTGGAGAACATCAAGGCAGCCCCCGCGTCATCGCAACATCCCTGCTGTTGTGATCGCCATCGCAATATCCCCGCTATTGTGGTTGTCACCATCGCAACATCCCCTCTGTTGCAGTCCTTGCTGCCGTTGACGCACCGTCAACCTGTCGCAGTGTCGCGGGCCTCGCGGCCGTTGCATTCGGCACTGCGCAGCATTGTCCCTATTGCAGTTGTCACAATGTTGCCACCGTTGCATTCGCCGCTGCACAGCATCATCCATGTCGCACTACGCCACCGCAACATCACAGATGTCGTGGTTGTCGCCATGCAACTTTGCCGGCGTTGCAGAAGCGCGTCGCCATTGCTGAATCATGTGGAGATTTGGACCTTTCGAAGCATGGGGAGCCCGCAGCAGCAGTGCCCCCGGCGCCTTGCTGCACCTCGCCGTCACCCCCGCAGCCGTGGTGGCTGTCGCCCCTTCACGCAGCAGCGTCGCCAGTGCGCAGTTCGTGGCGAGCCCATGGCGTTGCAGCAGCAAGCCGTCTGCTTGTCCAGTTCGTTAGGGCCGCAGTGCCATGTCTCAATTGCGAGGAGCAGCGCTGGATGGGGAGGGAGACTGTGAGGGGGATGGGGAAATCGCTCGATTCGGAAGAGGAAAGGAGATAAGGAAGGAGAGGGGACAGGTGCGGGGCTCACATGACGCGTGTTGCACGCGTGAGCCAGCCGACGCGTGAGTGTAAGCAGTCGGCGGATTGTGAGCATTCCCTTAATAAAAAGCACTGTATGTAGCGGGATAAAGATACATCAGGTAAAGAGGAAGGAGAACAGAAAATCTTTGCACAAGATGGTACAACATAATGCTCCAGTCCATAATTATTAAAATCCTCTCCTTCTCGCAGCGATTAGATCATAGCATCTGAGCATCTCCTAGTCTATGACGTGAAGCCCTTCCAATTCTTGGCGATAGACCATTGCATTTCACTGTTTCCAAATACTCCGAAGGACAGTCAAACGGACCTTGTTTTTGCGGTTGTCGCCCCAAATCTGTTGTATTGTCAGGATCATCTGTACATAAAATTAGGGTTGCCCCTAGAGATTGAAGAAGCTCACATTGTACTAACATATGTGCAGTTGTTTCTGGAGATAGACAAAAAAGGGCAGCAATCCGAATGAGCAATTCCACGTCGAAACCTGCGCTCATTTGTAAATAACCTGTTTTTGAATGCCAGCCAAAGGAATATGGTGCATTTATTAGGCGCATAGTTCTTCCAAACCGCCATGGCCCATGAGTCAATTGGCCTGTTTGCAAAGGCTGCGGCATATGCCAATCTCGTGGAGAGAGGCTTCCCATCTAGTCTTCCTATGCGGGTGTCTTCCACCCGCGAATTCAAGATTATGGTGGCCATCGAGCGCAACAAGGTAAGCCCATTCTTGGCAGTGGAGGAGATCTTAGGTTGTAAGCCGAGGATCAACAAAGAGGAGTTGAGCACTCTAGTGACAGAATCATTGAGCCTCTTATAGTGAGAAAACAACATTGAGAAGCGTGGAGTGGGAGTGTCTCCGAAGATCCAAAGGTCGAGCCAGAATGAGGTAGCCCATTGCCAATCATGACTTCAGTTACCTGGCGAAAGAACCTCAGACAACAGTATCTAGGTGATTTGAGTCCCCGAGTTTTCTGGAGTTGGTCCAACTGTTCATAGAAGTGAACCGAACTTCTGAAGTAGAAGAACCAGGCCAGTCAGTTTTAGCAAGTTTTTTAAAGAGGAGGCAAATATTATGAGTATGAAGGAATTTGAACCCTAGACCACCTTTTGCGAACGGATACATCCCGTCCCAAGCAACCTTGCATTGCCCACCATTAACGTGGTCCTGACCTGTCTAGAAAAAGCTTGTCAAAAGCTTGAATAGTGTTGATAGGAAGGAGAAGCGCTGACATCGCATGTGTAGGTACTGCCCTAAGAGCCGCACGCAGAAGAATCACCCTACGATCAATCGAGAGAAGACTTCTATGCCAACCTGCCAGCCGTTTATCTTCCTTGTAGATCAAAGGGTGGAAGGCCGAGATCTTAAGTTTGGAGGTTGACAGAGGCAACAAGGTGAAACCGAGCCGCCCGAAGTAGACGCCAAAGATATGGCCAAGTCATGGTAAACCTGTATAGGAACAAAGCTACTCTTGTCAAAGTTAATATAGAGACCGGTTACTTTGGAGAACGCAAGTAGGATAGATTTGAGGTGTCGGACTCCTGGCACGCCTTGAGGATAATAAGTGTGTCATCTGTGAATTGAAAATTGAATGACTGGGCATGTGAGAGAATCATCCAGCGGGTGTGAGAGAAGATTATAAGAGCTAGCTTCAAGAAACGCCCTTTGGAGTACGTCGGCGACAATAATAGAAATAAAGGGAGATAGAGGGTCGCCCTGGCGAAGGCCACGACGATACTTGATCCAGGGGCCTGGTTTACCATTTAGTAAAACTACAGATTGACTCGAGGAGTTTAGGTTTGAGATCCAGCGGCACCAACGCTCCGGGAAACCTTTGGCCTTTAGAACTTCGATCAGAGCATGCCAAGACACCAAATCGACAGCTTTCCGACTATGACATGATTGGATAGTATCCGTGGCATAGATAAATTTTTCCGAAATGCTTTTACCCTTAACAAAAGCCGTTTGGTCTTGGTGGACCTGCTGCATAGTGAATGGTTGAACATGATTAACTAAGCATTTGGAACCTAGTTTCATAGTTCAATTTTGTGGAGACACCGGCCTGAAGTTGTCAGAGTGAATGGCTCCCTGTTTATTAGGAATGAGAGCTATAAAAGCTTTTAATACGTTTAAGATCTGCCTGGTGTGAAAAGAGGTCGGACATGACATGAAGCTGATCATGTTTGACAAGGTCCCAATTGGATTGTTGAACGCTGGACCAAACCCATCCAGGCCTGGGCTAGACTTGACGTCCACCGAATCGAGAGAAGAGTCGATTTCATTTTGGGTGAAAGGGGCAACAAGGGATTGAGCCTGGGGGTGAGAACCAAATTTCGAAGCAAGGGGTAACATTAAAAGAGAAGCAGTTAGACGAACTGGTACCCACTAAGTTTTTGTAAAAAAATGTGAAGGTTAGCTTGCTTTGCGGAGTGAGGGCATGTTATGTTCCTGTTGCTTCATATTACCATTTTGTTTGTGTCACGAAGATATTTTCTCTGGAACCGCCATAAGTATGCTGCTTAAGTCATCCAGTCAGTCTTAAGAAGTGGCGGAATTTCAGTTTTTTTTGTTCCTTCACCCACATCTTATCTTTCCCACCAACAATGGTTTTACCGTCTTGAAATACTTTTATTCGTATGTCTGTTGCGTACAGGCTACCACTGTTTGTCCAGTTGGATCAGTTGGATTTTTATTACCAAGATGGCAGGAGCGTTGCTTTTTCCTGAAGAGAAAGAGTTTATATATGCAAGAAATAATCTTGTTTTGAGGGCAGCAGGAGCTCAGATCCCTGCCCACATAGAACTACTTAGTTACTGATTAATACTCCCTCCGTTTGTTTTTTGTTTTGCGCGCAAGATGAAACATGGATACCAAGGAGCGCCGACAAAGGGTTTTGCTAGATGATTTTGCCCCTGAGCTTACACTAGATGCGCCAATAAATTCACATGATTCCTCGCTCTCCACATTCTCCTCCCACCACGCGCGCCTCTGCACTCTGCATATGTCCGCATGCTCCTGCTGCTTAGGCCCACGCGATCCTCTCAGCCTATTAGGAGCATACATGCATAATCGTGCATCAGATAGGAGCAGTTTGCCCAAAAAATTTCATTCGGAATGGAACTCTGAGGAAGATGTAGAACGCCAATTTTCTATTCCTCACGAAATTGTACTCATGGGAAGAGAAAAAAGGAGTGCCAACAAACTAAGCATCCGTCTATAAAATCCATTTTCATTACTGAAGCCAAAAAGCAGCTGCCGACTTCTCTACTCTAGCACCAACAAAACTTAACTAGAGTTAATAAAAGCGCTGTTTATCGAGAAAAATAATGATTCATATGTTGGTGAAAATCTAATTTTCCTTTTTACCCCTGTGGGCAAAAATCTGAAATTCTTGGTTCTCCAACAAATATTTTTTCTTCTTACCCTTTTTGATTTAAACTAGAGCCATATCAGTTATTGATATGCCTTGGTCAAAAACTGCAGTGACTTGTATGACCATGATGAATGCAGCTATTGCTCTCTTCTGGAAACTGGATCATTTTGTAGTTAATCACATTCTGGTTTTCTTGACAGATGTCGGAATTACTTAATCAGAAATCCTCAGTCCAAGGGAAAGTTCCTTCAGGCTATTTCAATGCACTTTTTGATTTAATGGGAGCTTGGTTGACAGATGCCAAAGAGATTAAGTATCTTGCTTTTGACGGCTATTTCATTTCGTTGTTCAACTTGAACCTAAAAGCTTCTCCGTTGGTTCTTTGCGATGAAGTCAAAAAGGCTGTTCCATCCAAGTGGGATCCTGTAGCATTATCTTGGTAATAAAACACACTGTTAACTCAGTCCCATAACTCTGTTTTATATTGTCTAATTAACTTATTTTCCATCAATTAACCATACATATTCATCTGACTGGAAATTCTATGAAACAGATCACCTACTTCACCCATACGATACCTTACATGTACCCAAATAAATATCAAAATAACTTATTTTTCATCAATTAACTAGATATATTCATCTGACTGGAAATTCTATGAAAAACATCACCTACCTCACCCAAACGGCACCTTACATGTACCGAAATAAATATCAAACTAGAAAAGATACATGATCTAATTTCTCATCTTTTGATTTTTCTCAGGTTTATCAGAACTTATGGGACACACATAATTGTTGAAATGGCAGTTGGAGGTCAGGATGTCATATGTGTTAAACAAAGTCATTCTTCAACTATTTCATCTGCTGAACTAAAGTTACATCTGGAAGATCTTGGCGATTTTCTATTCTCCGATGGGAAAAACCTCTCCCCCATACATCGTAAGACCAAGGATGGCAAGAGCAAGGTATACATAGTCCTACCCTGAGCCGGTGAGCCCATGTTTCTGTATATCGCTTGAAATTTAGCTAACTTGAGTCATATCATTATAGGTGCCTGATGTTTTTGTCAGGATAGTGCAGCAGCCTAATAACCTACATCTTTCCAGTTACTCAGAATCATCAACCAAAGATGTAAGTTTTTCCTACCTTACTGTGCCAATCGGCTCTAAAGTTCTCTGTATGCTTAAACATAACTTTTTGTCCAAATAGGGCCTGACAATTACATGTTCGAAAAGGGGTGGAGATGTACATATACCCAGTCACTCCAAGTGGTTACCAACAGTTCCGAAGAATCCTGACGCTATAATGTTCAAATTTGTTCCCATTACCTCTCTTCTTACTGGCATTCCTGGTAGTGGTTACCTCAGCCATGCCATCAATTTATATCTTCGCTGTAAGTCCTGGAGGCATTTTTCTTCTTCTTAAACTCTTGTTGCATTTTGCCAAGCAAACTCTGAACAGTGTTAACTTTAATGGATTGTCTAGCTCAAGCATGATATTTGGTTAAGTTAATTCTTAAAGTTGACTTACCTCTCAGATAAACCCGATCTTGACGACTTACAACATTTCTTGGAGTTTCAAGTGCCTTTGCAATGGGCACCTGTGTTCAATGTGCTTGTCCTTGGGCCCCAGAAGAGAAAAGGCTCTTACCCTTCCTTGCAGTTCAGATTCCTTGGCCCCAAACTTCGAGTTAACACTTCTCAGGTACCAGATTGTTTGTTTCCATAGTTGGTTTTTTTAGGTAGAGTCTTAATTCCCAGTTATCTGCTGAGAAAGATTAGATTGAAGTACTACTATTACTTTCCAACAAAGCTGAGCTTCCATCTATTAATTAACAATTGTATTTTTGTTCCAGGTATCTAGCGCCCAGAAACCTGTAGTCGGTCTTCGGTTATATCTTGAGGGTAGGAAGTGCAATCAGTTGGCCATCCATGTCCAGCACCTCTCTAGTGTCCCAAGCATGCTTGGAGACTCGATGGCATCTTCGATGTCTGAGTGGCGTGAGTCGGAAGATACAGACCCAGGGTACATTGAGGCTATCCAGTGGAATAGTTACTCATGCATTTCTACATCTGTTGTGAAGTACAACCCCGAGTGGAGTAAGAGAGTTTCTGGTGGAGTTTTCATCGTCACTGGTGCCCAGCTCTTCACAAAGGGAACCTGGGCAAGGAAGGTGCTCCATCTGCGGCTCCTCTACACACATATCCCAAAGTGCACCATACATAAATCTGAGTGGACCCGAGCACCAGCAGCATCTCAAAAGGGAAGCTTTTTTACAACAATAAGCACAACTCTAAGCTCTCCTTTCATGCATCGCAACGCACAGCCTGCCCAGAAGCATGAGCCGGCGCAGCTGAACTCAGGTGTTTACCCTGATGGTCCACCTGTTCCGCTTCAGTCGAGGAAGCTCCTGAAGTTTGTTGACATGTCGGAGGTGGTGAAGGGGGCACATGATGTCCCTGGGCATTGGCTAGTGACAGCTGCGAAGCTTGTGAAGGAAGCTGGCAAAATTGGATTGCATGTGAAGTTTGCCCTGCTCAACTATGATGATACAGAACAACCGCATGGAAGTATCATGAGCTACCACTGTAAATAGGACAGGTGATTGTTGATCTTTGTACTCCATGCAGTATCATGAGCTACCATGGAGTAGATGGCAGGATTTTGGAAGCAACGTTAGGATAC